GGCTAAAAGGCATGCAGTGGTGTCAACACAAGCTGAGAAGAATGGAAAAGGGTACAGAGGAGTCAAGAAAAAGCACATAGAAGGATCTGCCAACTTGGATGACTCTTTGCTACTGCATCACGCTGAGGGATGCAGTGCTAATGACAAAGGGAAACGCTTCAAAAGAAACACAAGGCAAAATCAGCCACTCTGACTCAGTTTCGTTCTAGATGGCCAAGACAGTTCTATGAGAACATCAGCATTTATGTGTTGGATTGGGTTTTTCCTTCCTATTAAGAAAGTAAAAGCTTTAATTCTACAGAATGAACAACTACCATTAACTAAGAAAAAGCATCTCTTAGGGCAAGGCAAGTTACTTCACAAACATCCTTACCGTGGTTTCCTTCATTTCTGAAGGATTTGGCACCTGTTCTCAGAGATGTGAACTTAACGACAGAATATTTCCTGATACAGCAGTGTAAATTCTCCCCTCCGCTTTCGAAAGACACAAACCAACCCCATCTATCATGGCAGTCATCTCAAATGGGAAAGAAGTGACCTAAAAAATGTTGAAGAGTCACTAGAAAGATGTCCAGAAGATGTGATTTTGTAGAAGTTGTTGTTAAAAGACTGAAAGGAACATCTGGTATTTAGGAATATTGGGTTGATTAATGAATTCTGGATTGACAAATGCATTACTAAATTAGCTAGGTATTAAGATAGTCTTGTGTGTCTTTAAAAGCAAAGTTTATTTTACCCTCTGCCTGCCACGCACCCTCCCTCCCCTTTAAGATTTCTTCTTTGTGGTACCCCAAAATCCTTTATCGCTTAAAAAAAACTATTACATTTGACTTGTCAAGGTTTTTAAATCCAGAAAGTTTTAAATGCGAAAAATTGTTTTAAAGACGTGCACAATAGCAGTTTCCTATGTTTCATGAATCTTAAAATCTGTACTACCTAAAATTAAACTACCTTTGTCCTCAGAAGGGATTCTGAGACTTGTCTCAGCAAAAATAACAACCAAGCAAAATCAAAGCTTCAAATACTACATTTGGCAAATCTATAATGATTGCTTTTTGTATTTACTTATGAAATTAGTGTCTTTCTTTTTTTTTAAATAATACCAAAATAGTGTATAGTTAAAAGCTACACATGTCTACACAAATAAACACCACAAACCAAACTACACGCTGTCCAGAAAAATTCTGCTACGGTTTTATCCGTTTCCTTCCGGAAGAAATACTCACTGAACACATCACCAACTGACCACAACGCCATTACTGAACACCAATATCCTTCCAGTAACACCAGTTTCCAGAAAAAGTGTGTATAAATGTACACACAAAGTAAGAATAAAAATTATTTGGTTTGGCATTTTAATAACATCATTAATAAATGTATACAATGGCAAACATTAAAAAAATCGTATGTAAAGGAAATTACAGTTTTAAATAAGAGCTTTTTAAGTTTTGTTTCACACCTAGGTACATTCCTTTAAGGCAGTTTTATTAATATCAAAGCATTATTTACATATACATTATCATCTAGCTCTAAAATTCATACATGAGAGCTCCTTTGCTGAGGCTGCATCACGTCTTTGAAAAAGTTTAGAAATAATACGTGTTGGGAATGTTACTAAATCCTCAGCAGACTATCAAAAAAGTAAATAAAAATTATACATTATATAGTACTACAACCTCTTTTGTAATCTTGAACTAGCAGTGACAGATTTGGCAACTCCTGGGGTAAAAAGCTGTGTGTGTACTCTTGTTGTACACTGTCCAACAGCTGCCGTGTTCTTCCCCTGGGAGTTCGTGTTCCAGCGAAGCGGCTCCCAAATTAAATTTACATTTTTATTTTATTCTAATTTTAAGGGCACAGACTGGAAAGATTAAGATTAAGAAAGGAAAAAGAAAATAATTTAAAAATCAGCAGAGCACGGAGAACCTCCTGGCTGCTCTTCTGCTCTGAAACTTCTTTGCAAAAGAAAGTGCTGGGAGAAGTAGATTCTGATCTCTTAAATGCAAATTTATCTCCGGTGCTGCTTTTGGCTAATTTAGCAAATACAACCCAAAAATCCCACTCTGGCCTCCGTACTGATGCAAACGAAGCGGGTTGAAACCAGCTCACAATGGCAGAGATGGGCAGTAGCCAGGAGGACCCTGGCACACAAGCCTGACCTACGCTAGCCTCTGACCTAGCAGGATGCATTCTGCCCCCAAACTCTCCTACAAGGAAACTTTGCGTAGGTTTTTGGGTGAGGGGGGCTCATTTCTAAAACAGGTTATCAGTTAAATAGCGACTGTAAGGTTTGTGACTACGCCCTGGCTGTGAATGCATAGATGCTTTAAGAAGGTGTAGTAACATGCAAAAAGCAAGTGTAGAAGTCGTGACGGGTTATCTTGGACAACTTAATGAATACAAAAAAGAGCTGAGCTAATGAAACAAAACGTCAGGAGATGCCCGTGTGATGAAAAGGACACGGCCACACGTGACGAGGGCAGCTGACGTGTGTCCAGCAATGCTCCTCGCAGAGAAGCGTGTGCCACGCAGTCATGGCAATATGCCACTCTCGCCTAATTCCCAGGGACTTGGAGAATCTACCTAAACACAGACAACTGCTCGGATTCGGTGAATACAAACAGCATTTGGCACTACAGTTTAAATCTGTTAATTCAAGACACACATGTTCTTCTAAAAATAGTGATGCTACTAAATGGTTAGGGTTTAATACTTTGAAATGCATGAGTCCTCTGTTGTCAGAGAGAGCTAGGAGAATCCAGTCACAGTCAGACCCTGAAATGAGCTTGAAAATACCATCATTTAGAATCAAGAGATATTTTCCTAATGTTTATGGTATTTCAGTTCTCTTTCGTAACAGCTATGCCTTTAGTAAGGGCTACCGGCATTCCAGATTTCATAATCTCTGTCGATGAAATTCTGTCAAGGGAACTTTTCCTTCAGTCTCATGGCTCTGCCTGCACTGCAGTACAGGAATGGCACAGAGACCAGGCTTGGCACCAGATTCTTACTGCTTCGTGTACCCTTCTCCTGGAGCACGCCAGGGCTCGCTCTGTCTCCCTTGATACTGAGGGAGAAACTCCGCTGTGCCCTGAGCTTTGAGCGCACACAGGGACACGCAGATTACCTGTACACAGCTACACAGGCCCTGCCACGTCGTGCCTCTCCTAGCCATGGCCATCCATCCCACCCGCCCCTCTGGTGACATCTCCTAGCTGTCGCTGCGTGGCTTGGAATGCCCCGAATCCTTCCCAAAAAGGTCAGTTACAACGTGGGAAATTATCCCAAATGCAACTGAGCTCAGGCTGCCTACAAAACCATTGTGGAGCTGGATTTCAGGACTGCTTTGGGCTTCAGATCGCTCCTGGGATTGCTCTTCTATGTTCCTAACTCTGCAAAACTCATCATGCTGCCACTGAAATCAGTTAAAATCTCAACACTGAGAATAAGGGACCAGAAATGGATGCTGGTGTGAGCTGGTAATCAAAATAAACCCATGATTTTAATGAAATACCAGAAACATCTTCAGAGGAAGAATGCAAATTCTGTATGGTGGAGAGCTGCAAAATTGGTCCCATTTTCACTTAAGAAAAAAAAACCTCAAAAATGTTTAAATTATCTGTGAACACAATCCCAGGCTGAAGCAACTATTTATATTGTAAAACAAAAATACTCTGTTTAGATCTCGATCTTTGAGCACATTTTATGATAAGAAGCATTTCAGAAGGAAGTCACTTCCAGGAAAAAAACCCAAGAAAATTTCCCCTTCTAAAGCTTATTGAACTTTGCTCTTTTTTCCCCTTTTTGACAAATTTTCAGTAAAATAAAAAAATGACTGGCCAGTATGCTTTTGAATCTGTTGAACTGCATTCTCTCTCCAGTGAAAAATGATTCTGTTCCAACTGTCCCTGACAGCCTGAGACTCCATAAATGATAAAACCGGTAAGCCGTTATTAAGCTGAAGTTGCAGTGGCTCTACCACATGGCCTAAGCAGCGGCACAATCAGTTTACAGGTAGTCTGCAACCATCTCATGCTTACCTTTACTGACGTGACTGGCGATAGCTGTGGGTGAAGTTACGTACATGCCTGCTGGAAGACGGGATGCTAGGAGGTTACACAGTTAACTTAACCCTTTAGAAGAGGAATATGAATGTGCTTACTGGTTTGTAATAAAACGTAATTACAATAACTCATTTTGGATCTGCTTGTAAGTTCACGTACACTTCGTCTGAGCTCTCTGCAAATGCTTTCAAGACAACAAATGTATGCAGCCACTGAATGTACCAGTAACATTTGTTGACTTTAATATAAATCAATAATGAACAAAATGTATCTTACTAGTGAAAGATAATCGTAAGGGGAACCGATTGTAAAATGCGTATGATATTATTTACATTTCTTTTTGCCATCAAGAAAGCTCCTAAGCCACAATCAGCTCATGTCCAAAGACAAACAATAATAAAAAAAATTAGTCAATACACAAACATCGTAAGACAGTCTTATCCTGGAAATGCCATTTGTTGAAAACAGCCTTATATTAAAAGTTATAGAAAAATCATACCTGACCATTTCCTGTCAGCAACATCTGAACATATATACGTAGAATAACTTGGGAATGTGAAAAACACAAATGACAAACAATTTCTATATAATACGATTATCCCATGACTCCCACTTTTGTTAGTTATTGAACTTTTTCATGTATGTAAACAAATTTTTCTCTTGCAGTATGCAACAAAAAATCAGCATAAACTTTTTAAAGAGCAATTTCATGCAGATTATGCTAACCAAATAAGGCAGCAAAGTGCCAGTAAGCTGTGAGGTTTTTGTATCTGTATATACAGTCGATTTCAACAAAATACTACAGCATTTATTTTAGATTTACAGAAGTAAATATAAACTGCTAGTTATGGGGTTTTTTGGCTAATTATTAGCAGAAGCTTAAGCAAATCAGTGGCTAATTTCATAAACAGAAGATGAAAGAAGTTTGTTTGTTTGTTTTTTTCCCTGGAGTAATTCTTGAGACCTTAAAATTCTTGGTCCTTAGGGAGATGAGAACTGTCCTTTATTCAGTAGATCTTAACAGTGCAATGTGCAATAATTCCTAAGACCATCTACAAATTTTCGGCAGTAGACTCCAGTAGAGCTCCTTGATTCAAGGAAGGAAGGAAGGTAGGTAGGTTTTTATTTCTTGCCTGCTCTAGTCACGAAGAATGTAAAAAATTCCCTTAATTTTTATTAATGATTCCTACAGTCGCTGTCTTGTTACTTCAGATATAAAGGCTTCATACTGAGATACTGAAGGACACTTTTCTCTCTGTGTTCAGTTGAAAGGCAGAAAGAGAAAAGAACATAAGAAAAGCTTAAAGTGTAGAAGTATAAAATACAGAGTTAAGTCACTAACAGAACTAACAGCACTAATAGCATGCATCCAAGATGTTTTAATGAAGTCAAGAGAAGGACAGAATGCCAAAGACAAGCTTTATAAAAACGCAGTTTCCTTGTAGTATGGAATACTTTGTATGTTTTGTTAAACTATTCTTTTAGATTTATCTGTCCCTTTCTAAGAACTGACTTCAATATTACTTCTTAATGTGATTTCTTTGAGCTTTCTTCTTCAAGAGATTTGAAAGACAAAAATAAATGTCATTTTTACAGACAAAAGGCTGAATGGGATGACGTTCCCTGCCTACACAGGCAAAATAACTGCTGTAAAACAACCTCTTCTGGCTTAACTAATAAGCAAGATAGAAGCCAGTAAAGCAAGCGGTATTTACATCTGGTTAATGCAATGTGCACTTGTTCTTATATGTAATGCTGTTAGTTTGTTGTAAATGAAATTAATCTCATTTACATTTTGGGCAGGAAACTCACCACTTGGCCCACATCTCATGTAGTGGGTAATAGAATTAGGAGCTTTGTTGCTCCCTAGACCTGCTTTTTGAATTTCTGCTTTCTGGGATAGCTTCCACATCTGCAGAGAAAAGCATTTCATGTTATTCATTTTGTTTATCAGGACATGAAAAACATCCTCATGCATTAAAATACATTCTACTTATTAGTAGAGCAAAAGGATATATCAACACTTTTTTTTTTTTTTTTTTTTTGAGGAAAGGACAGAGGAGAGGGATAGAAGAAACTCGCTGGAAGTGCCTACTCAACTACACTCATTAAAATTCATCTTAGCATTTAGAATAACCAGGTATTATTTTCAAAGCCACAACCAGATATACTTAACTTTCAGATACACTAACCCTAAATTCCTTAGGAAAAGGAAAAAAAATAATCAGATGTAATCAAGGCTGACTGAACCCAGCAGAGAACGAAACTCATCTTTGCATTTTTACCTGCTAGACATCGACAGAAACATTCGCATTCAGTTCTGCAAAACAGAAAATTATCTTTGCATGCAACAGCCTGAACGTGCAAAATGCAGCATCTTAATTTACGATTCACTTAAAGCAAAGCATCAAGCAAAACTTTAACTGCAAGTAAATTATTCAGCCTGAACAATAAAACCTTTTTTGGCCAGCAGCCACATATTTAGTGTTTAGAATTACCATGCAGAGTCCTAACTTACAATTTCTAAAGGCAGCAGGGCCCAAGGAATGAGCAAGCGCACCGTGTGCTTTACGGCCGGCCGTTGGAATGGCCAAGGAGCAGTAGTGATTGTGTCTGAAAGGAATTTCACAGATCCTTCCACCAATTGAGCATAGGCCGAAAGAGACATCCATGACATATGTATTGTTAAAGCGTAAAGACCAAAAAGTGGAGGAAAAATAATCCTTCTGTACATGAGAACGTTTCTTTTCTTTCGTATATAATAAAGAAATGTTGGCAATTTATTTCTCAGAGACATTAAAAAGTCTCCGGCAGCATGCTTTCACCGCTGCAGCTGAACTCAATGGAGCAAAAATAGGAGCACAAAAAGTTATTACCCTCAGAACTGAAATGTAATTCATTACAAATTTACAAAACAATGCAAAATAGTAGCTTGAGCTGGACAAGCGCTCCCACAGAGGACCTGAGACACTAGTGTTCAAAGCTGCTAACACTCAGTTATTCTGAAGCCCTTTGCATTTAAGAGAGAAGCTGGTTTAATGCTGCCCCTCCCCAATGGAGCAAGGTAAACCACAGGCTAAAAAGGCATTAAATACCAGACAGAAATACTCACTATCAGATTTTTTTCTACGTGAAAGCTTAGTGCAGTGAAAAGAAATGAAACAATGCAAACTGAAGGGCCCTGTGGGCAGTGGCTGGAAAAAAAAAAAGTATTTTGTTGCCTTGATAGCAAGCTTTAACTTCACCCTACAGGGGTAACCTTTACAAGTTCTCTTTAGACCTTGGCCTTGCTCATGACTACAGTTGGGGTTCAGTGGTCATGCTGGAGAGTCTGTAATCTACCTTGAGACAATACTGGGATTTTCTGTAGCTGTGACAGTCCAAGGACCTAAGCAAGACAAGGCTGGCAAACGAGAGAATAGCATGCCTGAAAGCTTGCCGGATTTCTCCAACAATAGCAGCTGATCTAAATAGAAGATACTACCTCTAGCTACAAAACTTGTTCTCATTGTAACAAGCAGTCTCGCTGCAAGACACCAGCTTGCAATCAGTTAAGAAAAATACAGATACTGGTAGCACAGTACGAGTTTATAATAAGGACTCTCAGAGCTAAGAAGGTTTTCTCTGTAATTCCTTACGTAACTTGCAAAATGTATTATGCACACGTCGCTTCAGATAACAGTGCCATTCATCTCAAAGCTAATTCAAACACATCTGTAAGTTAACAGAAATGAAGTCAAATGACATGATCCAAGATCAGAACACTGATCTCGCTGCATAAGAGTAAATGCGTGTGAAATTAAGACTGTATTTCAGATTTGGGTTTTTTTTTTTTTTTTAACTGGTAAGACAATTCCGGAGGGAATACAGCAATAACTAACAGCACGCTGTGAACAACGCTGAGAAGTAGTGAGAAATTTATCAGCCCAATAATAATGGGTGCCTGCAGACACGGTAAAGGATGGCTGCTTTACATTTTGAAACAGTAATTTTACCCTCCACAGAGTGTCTTTGAAACACCCAATCTTCTCCTCTTGTTCCTTCTCCCCACCTTGAAATGTAGGCTGGAGCTCTGGAAAGGGCACACTCTGCATTTTATTAACAATTCTCCTGGATGAAATGAAGACCTTATAGACTAACATATGGGATGTCTGCTGCTTTTCCTTGAGGACCCATGTATTTGCTACCCCTTCCTAGTTAAACACTAAGGAATTAAAGTTCAACCCTCACAGCAGTACCGTGACTGCCACAAAACGGCTGGCCAAATAAATTCAGTTGTAAAAATCAGAATATGCCATTCACTATTTTCAACATTTATATTGAAATATTAGATACATTTTCATTCAGGGTTTTTGTAGTGTATGTAATTTCAGGCTGCCATAACTGTCAGTAACTATCGCCTCTTGCAAAAAAGTACTAAGGTCTAAAGCCTCATGCAATTATAGTTTAAGTACGGTAAGATTTTAAACTCTGTTTATATTTACCATTGAGAAGTTTCAAGCAATTGCAGGGACAGTGGCATATTAAGTAATTACTTTTCAACATTTCTCTTTAGCTGGTCATCTGGGATTTAATGAATTACTCGCTTAAGCATTCCTATGCTCCCGTAACTTTGCAAGCAATTTTTTTTTTTGGTTATTTTTTCTTTTATTTAACTGTGTCAACAGTTTTTCTGTTGTTTTGTTACACATCTTGTTTTCTATTATATTAGCGCTACTTCTATTAAGAAGAAAAAATGAATTTCCACCATAATCAATACAGGTTTTTATTACCATACATCACAAGGAGTCTCATATAACTCTGTTATTTGACTCCTAATAAAACCGTACACTTCACCACATTTGTACACCAGACGTGGAAAGACAAAGCATACAAAAGGGAAAAGGTGGAAAGGGTCATTTTTTCATTACAAGTGCTGCATATCATGTCACTATTTATTACCTCTTCATAAGAATTATCATTTATGTTTAGGATTATGAATGCTCTTCATATTTACTGATGTTCAAATATTTTAGTAAGCATGAATAGTAATTCATATTTATTGTGCAAGCTGGAGGCACTGAATTATTGGGCTTCTGCAAAGTGCATTTACACCAGGACATGGCATAAATGGAAAAGGTAAGACACTGAAATGTCTCTAAATCCTTCATTAGTATCTCATTTTTGAAAGAAGGGGAGGGGAAGTATTCTTCCTCCAGATACGTAATCAATGTGTTACTGATACATCTGAAAGCACGAGCACAACTGAAAAGTACCGTCTTTGTACTGGAAATTACGTTGTTCACTGTGCCATTTCTGGCAATGCAGCATGCGATTGGCTTAACATGCATTCAGTAACATACAGGAAAAAAACCAAAATATTTGTAATGTGTGACAAATAAAAATATAACTTGTATTATGAAGACTTTTAAAGGCATGCAAAATATATACAGTGCAATTAATGTTTCATGCAAACTTTGGTGAGGTTACAATTTTACATTCAAACATGCCAGAGTACACAACTGAGCCCTATGCCATTGTTCTTAGAAAACAACCACCCACAGATCTAACAAGGAATTATTTTTCTGTTGTAGCGAAATTATCTCTAAATCCAGTGGACGTTGAGAAGAACACCTATATGTCATATTAGACTCTCTATATATTTAATAATACAACTTCCTTCTCATACACAACCATACTCATACCACACAGTTTTACTGTCTTCAGAAACCAGCAGCGGGGATTCAGCCTCACTAGTGTTTGTGCAGGCGGTAGGAACAAATTCACTAGTCAGAACTGAGCGTGGGTCACTACGATCAGATTTCGGATTAGCAGAAGGCTGTTCCTGATTTTTCGGTACTGATCTAATTGCGCACAGATTTGCCTGATCAGTTGCTTTTGATGCAGGTCTTTGAGGCAATCCACTTATATTACTAACTAATTCAGTGTTAAAGGATAAAAATGGCTGAGCCACAGTAAATGATCCTGTGCTGTCATTACCAGATATACTGACTTTATCATTAAACACACTTGTGCTTATCAAAGTTCTGTCATGAAAATTTGACCTTTCCATCCTTGAAGTCTTAGGCACATCAGAGTTACATCCTAAATTACGTGGTTTAACTGCATTAGCCACATCGCTTTGGGGAACACAATCTACTCTGTAAGCCACACAGTGAAAAAAATGAGAGGATAACTGGTGTGCTGAGTACTCACTAGAGGTTGATGGAACACTTCTGTCGGCGGTGGATGGTGCTGGATCAACTGATACAGGTTGCCTGCTGTCCTTAGACAAAAAATCGTGAATGCTTGTCCTTCGAGTAGTTCCTTCTGCCGTAGAAATCACGCTGCTTGCACGAGGTAAGGTAGCATAAGGATTGCAATCTCTTGATTGTCGCTGTGATACAGTTGCTTGTATCTTTTCTTTAACCGATTTGGCCTTCCCTTGAGCGCCTGACGTAAATTTTATCGGAGAACTAGTAAAGTAGGTGTCTTCCGTTCTACGAAGGCTGGGCCTTACAAATTGTTCTGGTTTAATGGATCGTCCATCTGAGAAATCAACTGTATTTTTTACGCTTAACGACCTCACAATACCACAACCGGCAGACGGCTGTTTTCTTAGCTTTTCCTTTCCTGTCAGCTCTGCAGACTCAGATAAGCTTTTCATGACTTCATCTAAAAGATTCTCTTCACTTGCAGATTTCATCTGTCAAAAACATGAAACATCTTATAAATTTATAAATTGTAATTGTGACATTTTCTTAAGCAATCTTAGTGGATGTAAATGAAGAATGATTATAAAAACTTGGGGTTTTTTAATTTATCAGACCTAAACAGCCGTATTAAACATCTATGGTACGCACTCATTAGTTTTCTGTACAGCTTACAGGCAAGTACTTTGAAAACTAGGTGTCAGATGATCGTAACTACCTGGAATTAGTTCCTGGAATACTGATTAACTCAACAAATCAGATGATCAAATCTTCAAGTTTATCTTCTCACTCACTCACCCTCTGCCACCACTCATCAATACTTCTGAAGCAATTTCATATGGACTATTATTTTAACTTATGCTGATCCTCTGCAGCTAAAAGCTTAAATTCTCCATACACTCAGATAATAAAGACAAAAATCTCAGAAAGTAATACAAAACACATAACCTTTAGGCACTCTTGATGCCTAAATTTGGACCAGACAGCTCCCAATTTTTTCTTTTTGGAGAAAAGACTTGAGAGCTGGGGAAAAAAAAGTTTAGGTGAATACTATTCACAGACTCAGGGGAGAAAGACTGCAGTCTTTTTCAAAATGGTAAAAGGGGCGATTTGGAAAGAATTAAGCTAAAAGCATTATGGAAATGCTCTTGCAGAAGACTGGAAAGAGATCTCCTGAATACCCTTCCAACCTGAATGATTCCGTGATGCTATGAAAGGAATTCTGTGATTCATGAACAGCAGTGGACTAGACTTGATGACTCAGGTGGTTTCTTTTACTTCTATTGCCAGAGAGTATTGTCTAACACTTAAAAACCAAAAATCCTTCTCAGAGAGACCATAGGTGAGAGCTCTGTTTAAGTATCTAACAAAACAATGTAGAAACTTAGTCCAGATTCCAGTCACTACCCCAGAATACTCCAATCAATTCAGCTGTGAATGTAGATTTATCCATTTCAATTGTGTCGTTAAAATTAGATGGGAGTCTGACCTTCACTCTTGATATGCCCCAGTCACAGTAACTGGCTTACTTTATCCCAGTGCACTTCTAGGTTTCGGGCAGATCTACTCAAGAAGTAGTGATGAAGAAATTAGAATACTAGCAGAGACAAGGTAATTTGGGGCTTCTAACAATCTCTCACTGATTTACAGAAACATTCTCTTTGTCCTACTCCTCTCAGATTTCTATGAGCTCCAAGGTCGGGTTTTTGTGCAGCAGAACTAAAAAGATGAAACTGAAGCAGACAGGAGTCTCTCCTCAGGGAATAAAGTAAAGCATCTTCCTTAGTAAGACAGATCTGACAACAGCTCTTACTGAAGACAAGTGCTGAACGGGAAGAAGAAAAGTAAACCTTCTTAGAGTTTGTGGCCTTCCATCTGAGCTCTGACGAGCGTGCCATGCATCCATACAATTTTGTGCAGCAGAGATTGACTTTCTTACCTAATTTAACAACCCGGAAAGGGTCAAGCCGTGAACTGCCAAATGATTTTGTGTGTAATCTAGCAAGTACAGTTTATCAGGGTACAGTTCACACTACTTCTTAATGCAGGCACAACCACTATCTCCACAGAGTTTTAAAGCAATTCTACTCACCATTAGTCTTCTACTAATTCTCTGCCCATATATGGGATAATACATAGTTAAAACATTTCTTAAACTAACCTCACTTGAGGTACTCTTGTTGCTTTCTTCTAAAAACTGTTGTAGGGTAACAACTTCACTTCCAGGAGAACCAGTTTTGCTCTGTTTTCCACGACTATCCAGTGTTTCAGACGTTCTTTGCTGGAGCACAGGACTGGACCTCGTATGACCTTTCAAATACTGAATAGGACTGCTGCTGCTACTAGACCAAGCCTCATGTTCGTGTAGCAGACTAAATTCTCCGCTGCTGTGACTCTGCGGCCTGCTTTGATTGTTAACTGCACCTGCTTTTGGGGTAAATGGTATTAAGTATTGCCATAACAAAAATATATGAAAGCTATTAAACAGTATGTACTTACTCCAATCTGGAGCGTTATCAGATTCAGTTAACAACAATTCTATTTAAAACGCTAAAAAAATCCAGTTGTCCTTTTTAACTCAAACCAAATATATTATTAATACAATTGCACTCCCCTTACTTACCTCTTACAGCTCTTTAAACATGACATGATCTTTTTCAGTAAAAAAACCCTACCTTTCACTTACTATCTGGGCCTCCACCTACATAATACTATATTCCAAGAGGCTAGATACGCCTCCACTCTTGTTCAGCATCACTATGAGGCACGCACTCTAATATACTACTACTGAGTCTTACATTAAATGAAATACAAAGGATGGAACTGAAAGAAAGCATTTTCTTCAACATAGTTCTTCAACAAGAACTATTTAGGAATGCTGCTTCTCCAACAGTTTCTGCCTAGTTTATTACAACTGTGACCTGAAGGAAGCATATGGCATTAAATGCAAAATAAATTCCACAACACCAATTATTTTTGTTTTTCAATAACTGTGAATTGCTAAAAAAATACTGATGAATAATCAAGTATTTCCTATTTCATGTTACTCCTAAGAAATGAAATTAAGTTTGAAGAAAGATAAATTGTTTACAGCAGAAATCTCTAATCCTGTACAGAAACTGGGGCGAGGTGTGCCTCAAAGAATCCTTTACAGAAGAAAGTATCAAACAGAGAGAAAATAAACTAATAAAAATCTTAAGCTAGCATTCATCTCTAAATTTCCAAACAAACAGATACTGTTTAATACACGCAAGCCATGAATATTATATGAAGTCTGAAGTTGGCAGCATTCTAGTCTAGTATATACTATGGTCTCCAGCTAGAATGGCCAGTATAAACAAAAAAATAATATATCAAGGCTCGTAATATATGAAATTTAGAGAATACTGCTAAATACAGGAATGTTATTAATCGTCTAAAAACAAAATATAAAAGTTTACAGGATAGTATCACATACACCGTTTTGCCCAGTTTGTGTTGTACACTGTACAGCAGCACTGCACACGTAGTAGGACACTAGGAAAAAAAAATGGAGCAACTTCTCTGCTTAAAAAGAAGGGATTTTAAAGTAATTTGCAGGGAATTCTTATTTTGTAACATTGTTGGTTGGGTTAGGTTTGGTTTAGAATAGTTTGTAACATATACTAATACCACCTTTTAATGTTTATTAAAAACGTAACTTTTATTAATACTTGTATCCTTTCCCAATTTGGGCAATGAAGGCTATAAAATGCTTAAAGAAAAACATGCTGTGGTGTGTTGTGAGAATTTTTTTTTTCCCCCTATATAGATGATCTGACAGAGAAAAAATGGAAACGAAGCATGTGTGTAAATTCACCTACAGCATACCTTTGACTTCATGGAGTGAGGCATTGTTATTGCTATTGCTAGTGGACGTTCTGCCACTATCAAGGCTGGCTGGTCTGGAAGCTAAATGGAAAATTAGGAGACACCATGATGAACAAAATTTTAGCAGATGACACGGTACCTTTACATTCTGATCACAGAATGCTCAGAGGCAGGAATCATGCACTATTTCACAGGCTGAGCATGCCCATTGTCAACAAAGTGGTTTCTTACAGATCAGAAAGCGAAGGGATTTCCAGGCAGTCCAAGAGGACACTTTAGAAAAGGGCACTACAGGAATAGTAAGGTACAAGGAAGAGGAAAAGAGAAATAGAGTGTACATTTAGAATTGGAACTGACTGGTTAGTGGGAAACCAGGATTTTGGAGATGAACGGATGGGCATGCAGAAAGCTGCTCGTGATTAGGTCACTTACAACAGATTTGACAAGGAACCTTGCACATTGTTGAAATGCCACGAACAGGAGGAGCAAGAGCATCTGCACAGATAATGTCCTGTACTCCTAGCCAATACAAGGGAAATCCACTGTTACTGTCTTCAAAAGGGTTTGCTGCTCAGACTAGTTTTAAGTGCTTATACTAGAGTTAAAACTTCACTTCTAAATAGTCTGTTATAGCTTCCACTTCATAGGTTTGCTTGAAGGAACACGTAATGATTTTATAAAATACAGTACATGACAAATTTAGGTTTCACTGAACAATAAACATTGAAAAATGAGGCCAGATTTGGACTTGGGTTCTTTAGGACTGAAATTATAACTCTTTTATTTTACTAAATTTTAAAAGGGAAAATGTTTTGATCCTGTTCAGATGCACTTCATAGATACTTTCTATTAGAGATATAGAACACATCTATCTGATGTAAAGAAAGAAAAGAATAATCCGAAGAAATGATACTATACATTCAAGAGATATGCAAATCACAGAAAGCATGCTCACTTGTAATGATGCCATTCACTTTTTTTTTTTTGCAAACTTCGTTAACATTCACATAATACATCCTTAATTCATTTAATTAAAGTTCACATCTTACCATGAACTCTTGATCCTGTACTAGAATCATCACTAATACCTTGTGGACTTACATCTTCAAAGGATGTAGTATCTATACACAGAGACATAAAAGAAGATGTAAAATAAAACAAAATAAAAAGGTTACTGAAATATTTATCATCTGTAAAATATACTATTTTTTAAACCAATCCATTTTTACTTAGGTAACATTCTGCAGCAAAAATCCTGAAACATTTTTAAACTGCAGTTATTATACCTATTCAGTATCTTAACACTACAACTCAATTAAGGTTGCTTTTCACTGAAAAATTTAAAATATGAGTAAACCCAATATTTATATGAAATTGCTGTTACACACAGTCATATCACGGTGCAAAAAGCTTCTACCTATACCTTTATTATTTAGCAACTGCTTGGATCTGAAGCCTGTAGAAGAGTTGACAGTTGCAAAGTTGATAGCTGTAGTAGAGAAGGCCATAGCTCCCAATTCTTTCCTCCTTTTACCCGCAGATATATCATCAGGACCCTCCAGATGCTCAGAACTACCTGTCCATTGTCCTCCTGCTAGGACCATGGACTGCACCAGGTCATTCATGGCTGGGATGCAAATGAAAGCAAATGATCAGCATGGTCAATGTATTTGCTTCGGTTCTTATTTTGTATTGCAAAATGTTTGACAGTTTTCTAAGCGTTAAAGCGTACCGAATACCACAAGACATAAACACAAGATCATCCATGTTATGACATGCAATCAGCTCAATGAATGAGAAGTGTTCTAAGTCAGAGACTTCTTTCAGCTCAGTATGGGTCTTAAAACTGATTTTATCGGCTACAATCGCCATGCTTGCGCTGCAATGACATGTAGTATGTATGTTAGAAGCTTTGATACACTGTTTGCAATGATAAAATGGAATGAATAAGGACAAAATGGGCAAAGGTGCTAATACAATATAATGTCAACAATGATACGGGATCCTTGTACAGTGCAGGTTACTGCAGGGATACTGTATTTTACGTAATAACAAATAAAAGGATCTGAAAAAGATGACATCTGATGATATTCACCTTTACTTCACAAAACTAGAGAAAACTGTCCGCCCCTCGTTATAAAATAAAATAAAATAAATCAATACAACATTTTGGCAACAACAATTGATGAATACTTGAAGAGTGATAGACCACCATACAGCCTCGCACTATTTTCTACGCTTTCTTTAAACAAAAAATTACAGTGATTTCTTAACAAAAGGCTTATGAAATGCGTAATTCAGAACTATTTAGGTTAACACAGTGCACTGTAAATTTATATACACATAGAAACATGTGTATATAGACAACTATGTATACAAATATACGGAATCACAATGCACTGAATATATATATGTATGTGCGTGTGCTTGTAAATGTGTGGGTGCATGCCTGCATATGTGCACATATATAAAGTATTCAGTGACAAGGTTTTTTTTTAAAAAAAAGAAAAAAGGAAAAAAGAAAAAGCTCCAGCTCCTTGTATTGTAGCAGGACTTGCACATCGCAAAATAGGAGGAAAAATACAGCGCAGTCCAGGGAGAGGTTAGTGAAAAATTAGTAATGGAAGCCAGTGTAGCCATTTAAAAGAAGCTGAACTGTCATAAAGTCTTACACATGGAGCGACGGTAGAAGGCCTTCATTTTGTCTTTTTCCTTCGGTCTGTTCCTCAAAAAGGGCAGTCTTTTCAGTGCAACCACTTTTATGTCATAGCATGAGGAAAAACGGAAACAGGGAAATGAAAGAAAAAAAGGGAGAAGAACAGATGGAAGTTAAATGTTGAAACTAAGGACAGAAATGAATGTCTGAGTTTAAGCTATGTACGCTATGCTAAAAACTATCATTCTCATGCTTCTGTGTGATAATGAAATAGGAAAACTACACTGAAATATGAAAACTACACTATGAAAACTTTAATATACTCAGAAATGCACCGAAAATAATGGTGAAGAGTGTAATACAGTCTGAAAGTTCTAACTACCAAGCTCTTGAAAAAATAAATGTAACTTCCTTGCAGATGATTATAGCAATTGACGGTTATATAGTTTTTACTGTGAAAAATAACATTTCTTGAACATAAAGAAAAATGTGAAGCAAAAAAAAACTTAAAATGAAAGCAACTCTAAATACAGCTTTACTTTAAAATATGTTCACATCATTATTTTTTGAGATTAATAACTTTTGTAATGTTTTGCCCTACATCTCTAGTAGGACACAATCTGTTATCAGTCTTCATTTGTTACATTTTGTGCTCATTAATAATTTTGGTCATCTACTGTCTTGTAGAAAAATTATATGGATCTTATGTTCCATTTACTGTTTGTGTGCAGTAATTTTAATATTTTATTGAAATAATCCACTTCAAATCTGTAATAAGAAAAATAAATTCAAGATTTATTGACCGGAATGGTATACACCAGATTTTTTTTTAGCTGAAAAATACCAAATATTTAAAAAAAAAAAAAAGTAGTCAAAAGAAAATCCAAATGTGAGTGTCACTGTGACGTTTTGGAAGGGCTAAGAGAAAACTGAGATACACAATATCAGGAAAGGGAGTTAAAATTACCAACAGTATTAAAAGACGGACGAGAGGGAAATCACAAGTTAATCTTGTCCTTAGATTCGGCTGATCTGCATTAGTAACTGATTACCATTTTGAAGCATCAGATAAATGTGTCAGCTGACTGCCAAGCGTACAGGAGCCACATGCAAACAACTGGCATGTAAAGAGCCATAAAGAAATGCATAATGAAATTACCAAAAAGTTCTTATTTAGGCAGGTATGAAAGCAGTGTCGTCCAGTCTATCAGCTCAAGATCTGCTTAGTTTCTCCCTCCAAAGTCACTTCTGGGACACGTGCTTTGGTTTTCTGCTCAACCAGCCGGTTGTCATACCGCAGTTTCCGTTTTATGCAGCAGTGCGTATATACATACCCATTTACAAGTGCATGTGAACTACTTTGAGAGAGACCTAAATCTCCCTCTCCATCATATTATTCTGTGTTTGCCCTTAGAGTAAGGAGTTGACAAGACAATACATTTTTCACCGACGAACGAATGCCTGATTGGCACAGGCACAGCTCCTCTGTCAGGGCCTCACGGCGTGGGGTGGGCAAGAACAGGCAGAAAAGGCAGGCACCTGTGCCACCCATGTACGACAGCAGTACACTGAGGACGATGTCACCTTTGAATTATTCACTACGTAGGTATGCAGGTATTTCTCATTATGTACATAGACTTGCAGGTACTTCAAAATAACAAGGTTGGTTTGGTTTTGGTTTTTCCCAGATCAATAAAGCATTCCTCCTCTTGTAGACCCTAAGGAAATAAGCTAAAACCAACATAAACATAGAAGCTGACTGGCTCAAAAAAAAGCAGAAAGGCTGCTAAACCTCCCATAAAGGAGACAGGCGTGTTGTCTGTCTAATTGTATATAAAAGTACATAGCTTTCAGTAGCTCCCTGCCAAAGGAATAGGAGGCGCAGCATCAGACTAGTTTTCTAACAGGTAAAGAACTAATCAGTTCTAGCACTAATGCCACCAAACCAATGCGGCAATCCTGTTCTGTTTCTACTTTTTGTCATTATGGTGAAACATGATTCTTTTCTAACTTCTATAATCCTTCATAGACAAGATAACTGATCCCTCTATAATCCTTTATAGACAAGGTAACTGATCCCTCTTAATTAAAAACATCCACCCTAATCTTATTAAAAAGTAACCAGAGGATGTTCAAGAATCATTTGAGTCATCTGTGATTCTTGTTCATTAACACAGATCACCTCCAAAAGGACTCATTTACGGCTCTCAGCAACTGTACCAAACAGAAAACTGCACTGCAACTACTGATGTCCTGGAAATCGCCCATCAAAATCTGTCCTTTGGTAAAATGCAACCTCCTTGAGAGGAGGAATTATGTATTTAATTTTGGCATAGAGTATGACTAAATAGATGTAATAGATGTCCTGCAAAAAATACTGGAATGGCAGAGTTACAGCAGAGATGAACTGAGGACACCACAAAGTTTAGCTTAGGCACCTTTAGCTCTTTACACCTTTATTCCAACAGACTTTAAAAATGGGATGGCGGGAAGACTATTCTGGTCTTACTAATCATCTACTCAAAGAACTCTAGTTACAATTCATTAACTTTTCTTTCTCTTTTCAGTATTCTATGAACATATTCTTGCTGTCTGAGCCGAGAATGAATGATGAGTATTGCAGAATTCCTTCACGGATCAGGAAATCTCCCGTTTTGTAATCCTCCTACCATGTGCCAGAAATACTCTGGGGAATTCTGTATGGATACTAATAAAATCCTCAAAGTGTTTTGTTCATGCACACAAAAAAAATGGTAGGCAGACATCTTCTAAATGTTCTGGTAACAGAAAATGGAGCCCAATATACTTCTTTGACTTTCACTAAGATACGATGTGCCTGCCACTGGTACTACTATTTAAAGACGACTGGCTTACCAAGACCCTTAATTTCTTAGGACGTTGTTAACAATCTGAAATAGCTTAAGCGGAAGCTAGCAAAAGTAATCTGTTTTTCTCCACAGAAAAAAAAACAAACAAAAACCAATTCCACTTGCCTGCCTTGGGTTTTCTATCCAAAAGCTGAGAATGGCATCCTGTCCCCTCTGAGAAAAAAGGCCTCTGCACAAAGCAGATGTCAGATCTGTGGTACTCACCCGATTCAACCACTGAACAGGGACACGAAAGGCACGGTGACATTCTGCAGTCAGAGGAGCGTACAGTACCCAGGCTGCCTGCGAGCTTTAACTTGCGCTGCGTGCGGTCACAGCCATAGAGGGACCCGCTCCTTTCCAGAGGGCCTCGGGAATCGGACAAGGGCTTCAAGCACCCTGCCAGACCTCAGGTGCCGTTTTCTCTGCAGAACAGGGTAACCCGATTTTTGTGCCAAGATCACCTATCTTTCTAAGGCAGTAGGTCTCTTGAAAAGATTTGCATGAGAAAGTGTCCTGTATTAGGAAAACAGTCTCCGTCACCACCTTCAAAAGAAGAAAATCTACAGATTTCGCATAGCGAATCTATTTCTCGGTAGTGGGAGCAGCGGGGTAATTCATTTTGGAATTAGTATCTCCTCTTGCTTTCTCTGACAGGGGAGATGGGGTAGGAAACCTATACATCTCAAAGATCACTTTCTGTCAGGTACTCTGTCCTCTAGCTTTTGAGAACACCACTGATTTGTGCCAGTGACTACAATTTGGGGAATGTAAGCTGCCTTCCCTTGCCTTCCGAAGGACTCGCAGGACATTTCACCTCGGCAGTTCCCTCTGGAACTGTCTCCATTCCCAGACGCAGCAGTGGAACAGAACCTGTCTCTTCCCGCACCCCAAACTGCCTTCAGCCAGCGTGGAAAGCTACAACACCTGAGCATTGGCATAGACAGGCGGCAGCTTACAGGCTTTCTCTTTCTTGTAGCTTCTTTCAGTGGAAGTCACTACTGCCAAGCCACTTCTTACAGAAAAGAAAGGAGCCACAGTATCTTGATGTTTAGGATTTACAGTCATTGTAAAAGCAGAAGAAATAGACTGCAAAATGCGCACCACTACTGCTACTTCTCACACTGAGATATTCCGTTAACTTTGTGAGGCGCAAACTGTCTCGGGGAGATTGTCAGCATTGAATTGGCACATAATTCATCCAAATTCTATCAAAAACTGTGGTTTCCATGGTGACATGTGTAATGGAGGAAGGGTAGGATCCAGAATTAGATCAGCCCTTCCAGTTTGTGGATAAATACACTGGGATTAAGGGGAACATGAACAAGGCCCATGGAGTAGAAAATTAATGAGGTCTGAACAACTTCAAACCTCTTTTGAGGATCAGCCACCGTAACTTCAACCATGGCTCCACCAGAAGGGTAACTGCACACTACAAGGTCCCAAGTATCATGCAAAGAAAACACTCACATAAAAGAGCCTTTCCAGACATGAAATCGTTGACACAGATGCAGATGGTCTGAACCAAAGCATGCACACTCTTGATTCAAACTAACACATTTGCAAACACATCCACTGCAGCTTCAGTCACTCCTGAATTCCATAAGACTTCCAGCTTGTATGTAAAAGCAGCAGTTGCTTTTTTTTAAATTCAAAAGTATCTGTTTTGAACCCTAACAGACCCTTCCAGTGAAAAATACTAAGCTTCTCAAATTGACAAGTTAGCAAGTGATAAAATGTATCCTCTAACTTACTATTTTCTTCAGTTATTTAAAAAAAAAAATCACAAATCTGATTTTAAGTTTCCCCGAAAGAGCATTTTTAGATGTTTTTAACTTTGACCAAGCTTCAGCAATAAGTACAGAAGAAAAAAAAAAACAAAACATCACAGTGGTTTTAATAATTTCTAACACAGCAAATTCATAGCTGGCACAAAACCCAGAATACCTATCTGCTGTCTTTTGAAACGCAAGACATTAAATTGTAGAAAAGTTTTGCAAAGATTTTAAGTGAATGTTAATAGACTTGTATTCTGATGCTTTTACATGCACAGCCAAAATGCTTTTGGTGCACAGTAATTAAATAGAATCATTACAACTTGGTAACTTGACTGTAATATTATTTCTCAAATTGTGAGAAATTGGGCAGTTTATGATTCATGCCAAGAGTGGATGACAAAAACCAGAGATAATAAATGTACATTCTGCACAGAATCCGGCCTTTTATACTGTGGGCATCCTAACGTGATGGCTGTCAGGCTCTTTCAAGGTTAGCAAATTGTGTCTGCAATATTTGATCTATCCACAGTCTTTAACCCTCCTCAGTCTCCCTCTCAGCCACTTAACTCCAATCTTTAGCATCAGTAACAATTCACATCTTTTTAACAGGTTACGTCTCTACCTTAATTCTTCCTATTGCATATTCAAATATTATAAAAATTCATCATCATTGGTTTTGTGAGATGCTGGAGGAACATCTTCAGACAGAAGATCTTTTTAGGAACTAAAGGATGTTAGCACAACCATAGCTTGGAAAGCACTTCCAAGACAAGGGGAAAGACTCATGCTGGGACAAGAAGGAGAAACAAAAAAGGGTACTAGTGGTGGCATCTGACATGCTATCCAAAATTCTGCTCACCTGACCCAGTAACAGTGCCTGTTTCATCTTACCCGAGCACTATAAATATATTTTAACATTTACATTTAGAGCTACAGAAATGCTATAAAACTAGCTCCTGCCCAAACACTCAAGGAGTTTTCAAGAAGTCAGTATAAATCTGTCATTAATAAATAAATTCAGGCTTTATTCCTAAAGACTTAAAAAATTATCTTTAAAAATCCTCCAAAATGCATAGTCTTTTCCAGCACCCCTTAGTTTTTAATCATATCAAAACCATATTTAGCCACAGATTATTAAAAGAAAAAAGTTTCTTGCAGTACTCACTACTACTCTTTTTGGTCCCCAAGGTCTGGCCATCTTCAAGAGAGTTCGAGCCCACAGAGGAACTATCCTGACTGTCATGGTGGGGCAGCTGAAGAAATCCTTCACTGGATTCTGAACGGGTAGGCGTAAGGGTCACGGACTTCAAGCGTTCTCGATTAGCATCCTTCTTAGATTTTATCAGCTTCCTCATTTTCAGAGTAATCCAGTTGCCCCTTCTGTTATCAATAATACAGTACATATATTGTATTTATAATACATTACTTATGCCTTCAGACTTTTCCTAATTTGTATGCAAGAACACAGACATTTTTCTGCTCCCCTGAAGTTTAACGAAATCTTGATTTTTCAGCTGGAACAGAATAGGTATGTCCTATTTTAGATTTGTGTTTATTTTTACACCATGTTCATCAGTACCTTCTTGGCGGAGATGGTTCATAAAATTTATACTGATCCATTATCTTCTCCTCCAATTTCTCCTTCTGTCGCCTTAATTCATTTAGCTTGTCACTGTAAACAGAAATTAATGATAATGTATGCTTAAAAAATGTACACATAACGTGAGTGGCATGTTCCTTTGGATATCTGTCATACGAAAGTTTTCACTTTTCATGAGGAATTCTTATATAACACTTGTTTCTTATTGAAAAAAATCAAGAAAGAGATACAGTCTTACGTTTAATGTTATGATATAAAATTGAGAAAGTTTCCATTTGCCTTTATTACACAACACAATTTTCCCTTTTTTAAAAGTAGTAAAGTGCATATAGGCTCTTAACAGAATTATTTAGACAAGGACATTCTCTCTTCTTTCAAATTCACTGAGAAAGCTTACAGACTACAAACAAACCTAGAAACTTTGCTTGTAGTAGAATGAGGAATAAATAACATTTTTATTCCTCATTTGCATCATCAGTAACGAACGCAGTTGCACCGATCCTTTCGAACTAAAAATGTAATTGTTCGTAGTTTGCGTTATCTGCTTTTCATATATAATTTAAATTTTTATTTTAAAAAGAGAAACGTTTCAGAAGTAGCACGTGTTAATTTCTATATAAAACAGAAGCTTTTTTTTTTAAAAAATACAGGTATTAGTATAACTGCCCTAATCACAGTAATTTCATTGTTTTAAAAACTCACATGTACTGCCTTTGCTCTACATGGAAGAGATCCTTGCTTTCCATATTCTGCTCAAGTAATGTTCTATTCTGTAGCATTAATGTCTGAATTTGATCTAGTAGATGTCTGTTTTCCTCCTCCAGATTTCCTTTAAGCTGGCTAAGCAGCTGTTAAAATATATGAAATGGTACATGGATATATACGTAAGTATATTTTACACAAAGATGATGAGATTATCAAGAAAATTTAGGTCTTCAAAGGATTCTGATAGTGAAATCAAACAGAAAACTTAACTAAATCATGACTCAACTGATAAAAGCCTCTTTGACGCTTTAAATAACTTAAAACAGTTTGCCTAATACATGAGCCCAAATTTTTGTACTGCCTGTACAACAGGCAAATTAATTTGTCTTCAAACCCACTTCATTATCTATAAACCAAATGACTAATTCTCAAGCACTTCATATGACTTTATGAACCTACAAATACACTTACACAAATATTACAGCAATACCAGTCATGAAAAATAGTGTAATTCTCACATACCTCACATTGATTATTTAGTTTTGTCGATGTAATATCCAGTTGTTGGTATTGTTCTTTGAGTTTAGAAAACTCAGCTTCTAACCGTGTTTGTTCTAGTTTGGAATTGTTCAACAATGTTTTCAAATTCTTATGATCAGTTTGGAGAACTTCATTCTCTCTCAAGAGCTGACTGTATGTGTGAGTAAGCCTGGAATTAAAAGACACCATAAAAGAATATATGCAGACAGAAGGAAATGTATTCATTACCCACAGTCCCTCTGAAACATGGAATTTCCAAAGCTCTATACTACTCCATAGAATACATACAAAAAATTTCTTACTATCACATGCTGTAGGTAAGTCCTCTCAGTCTAATTTTCCTAGGTACGCATTCTGTCTTTAAGCCAAACACTCTGGGTTCTCCGTATGTTCAAAAATAAAGCAGGATTTCTAAATGCGGACATTGCAACTAGTTTTAAGATGCCACTTTTCCAAAACCAAGAATCTTACAAAACAGTTAGAATTTCTTGCTAACACAAAATAGTAAGTAAATAGGAATGGTCCAAACTTTGGCAATCATGGAGGTGGCATGTATCTACTTCTGGGCTCCCTTTGCCCCTACTGGGCCCTGCCAGGTCCCTTTCTAAAAACAGCCTCCACTTCCTACTAATCCTCCTCACACAACACCAAAGGTAGGAGGCATTTAGTTGTGAGCCTCTTCGCCAGATGAAAAAATCTTAATGCCTCTTGAGGAGGGAAGTATCATGCCACGTAAATACTGCTATTAAACCCGACTACTTATGGCAAGCTATACCTCAGCGGCAGGGGTCAAGAATGGCTTTGCCACCCACTGCATTTCTACTCCTACTGGCACTAACCTCACTTATCTTGCCCCTTAAGCAACTCACGCAGAGTGGTTTGCTCCCTCTACAGCTCACAACCAAACACAGTGCTTGGCCTGGCATTCCTCACGTGGAATTCAGTACCCTCAGGATATAATGATTATTTTTTGTATTTTTTTCTTCCCTGTTCAGTTCTGTATCACAGACCAATGGAGTGGAGTTACTCTAAGATATGGATCATAAACGTCCTGAATTGCAACACCAGGTATTAAGAAATGTGAGAGGATACAACACTTGTTTAAGACTGTACTAGCAAGTGTTCAGAGCTCTACTAACACACGTATCAGCCTTTTGCTTTACCTTTCATTTTCATCACGAAGTTTTTTATACTCTGCTGCTACAGTTTCATGTCTTTCATTTTGCTGCAGCATTTTCTCCTGTTCTATCTTGAGTACTTTCTCCAATTCTTCCAGCTGCACCTTCTGTTTCAGCAACTGGTTGTACCTGCAAACAAAAATCATATTTAAGTTTCTTTTTTTGGAATGACATGAAAATACGGAATTTTTTTGAAAAGCTGATCTTTCAAAGTTTTAAGATCTTAATGTTAAATTATTTAAGTAATACTAATTTTATTCAGACTAGTTACACAGCATTTTTTGCTTTTTGCTCAGGAATTGCAGACTCTAACTTTACTCATGCATATTAGTATTTACCTATCTTCTAAGTCCTTATGCTCCAGCTCCAGATTTTTGTGTGCAGATTTAAGACTTCCATGTTTAGCAATCAGAGATTCATACTCAGAAGCTTGGCGTTCATGCAGGTGTTCCAGTTTTTCATGATCTTTGAGAAGTGAATCATACAACAATTTCAGATCCTCACGTTCCTTGAGTACACATTCATTTTCATTTTCTAAAGATGACTGCTGGATCAACAGTTGTGCGTTCTGATTCATAAGAGATGTGCTTTGAGAATTAAGGGTGGAATTTTCAACCTGCAGCCATAAACATTTGACAAGAGTTGTAAATTAATTTCATAGTCTGGATTAACTTGTTTACCTCCATCTATTGAAAGATTTCTTGAGTTTAACCCTTAGCATCTTAGCAACCTTCTAGTTGTTCCATTACCTGACAATCTTTAATGGGAATACTTTTTTCCTTATATCCCGATAGACAATTCCAATTAAAAGTATTCCAAGAATATTTTTGTAACAGTATTGCAAGAAAGCACTTAAGTATATGCTTAAATTGACACGGTGCGGGAGAATCACATTATTATATACCTTCAAATATCTGTTAAAGTGCTATCGCGATGAGAGGTGCATTCTCCTCTCAGCACTGACAGCTCTAGCATCAAAATATCTCAGAAAAAGGGATCACCAGTGATCCTCGTATCATATAAGCCAAATCTGTGACATGAATAAAATAAAAGGAACTTTCATAGTGGCACAGATTTAAAAAAAATAAAAGTCTTTATTGTCTCTATTATCACCATAAAATCCTTACTGTATGCACATATACTTTACAATAAGACTTCAAACAGTAGCATCCATTTCACAGAGAGAAAGGGAAATAAAATAAGAGCATCTGGAAGGAACTACCTACATTCTGTTTTACTGAGGAACTGCCGTTCATGTTCTCTTCCAACAACAGTAATGTCAGTTGATTGCTTTATATACATGTGAGATCTAGTGGAAAGTACTCTTCTTGTAGAAGAGTACAATTTCTCCAATCATTACATCAGAAGGGTATTAATATCTATTAATACATTAAAACCTTCAACATTAGACAGATAAAAAAAAAAAATCCAAAACCAACTTTACTTTGTGTGCCTCTGGAAAGATTAACCTAATCTAATCCTTGGATATCTCAAAGAATTGACAATACCTAATGTGCTTGTCATCTGATCTGTATTAGGACTGTCTCCTTCTCTTTCCTATTCAAGACATGAAAAACACAAACTACTGAAGCTTCTAATACCCTCAGGGTATCTATTAAGGGGGTGAAAAAAAAAAATAAAAAATCTATCACTCCAGTGCACGCAGTTACCAAGGAACAAATCCCTTTCTGTTGGAACTACAGCATTCTTTGTTGCAGATGAGAAAGCTGAACCTTTCACTGGAAATGAAGTAATGTCTGATGGCATGTGTATGCTGTGAAACTTTCCAGGCTGAATCCTGAGTTTGATTTAGCTCAGAATTCCCAGTTATCCTTTAAGACATCCTTTCTCTTGTATGTTCCTTACGGGTATCAGAAGGAATAGTAGAATTACAGTTGCCTAAGAACAGTTCTGACATAGTCCATGTAGACCAGCTTAGGTTTCACTTCCAGTTTAGCTAACAGTTAATCACTCTTCTTTTCATGAAAATATTTCATCTTTCATTTTGATTTAGAGTTGTCTTGCAACTTGCCTGAAGCTACTCACAAAACAGCTGAATTTTCAAGGAAGGAGAATAACACCCTTTCTCAGTCTGTTGGGTATAGCATCATTCAACCCCAGCAACAAAGTTTACATTGCTTGGTGAGGTTCACCACAAAAAAAAGAAAAAAAGGCAGAAAACGCTTCCTTCTCCCAACTCACTGCCCCAATACTTTCAAATATCCAGAGTTAATTCATTCTCCAGGTTTATCAGATAGAAAAGGTCTGCGCTGTTATGCAATTCATAAGGCAAAAAAGGAACTACATAGATATTCCTGGTTTTTGGACACATGGTATTACAAAATACTCAAAGAGTTCTGAATCCCAGAGATATATGCTCATCTGTTTAAAATGGTGTATTTCCATGCCCACGTCCACTAATTTTTAACGACTAGACGAGACACAGCATGTGCACAAATGTTCTGCTTTGTTCATAGGCTTGCCAGCCACAAAGAGGAGTACTGTGCACTAATTACATCTCAGTGTGGTAGACAGAAAGTGCATCTGTGGTACAGCGATGTTCTTCTTCCCAGAAAGAGTCAGGACGGTAAAACTCGAGGCATTCACAAAATGCAGTATTTGTTTACTCGTTTAAAGACTCCCTCACTCTTTGATTTCCATCCACACTCTATCATTCCTGACATTGTTCACTATTTCTGCTGAACTGTGGACTTTGTATTGCCTCTTTAAGTAGCTTTGATTCTTAGAGCTCCAAAAAGCATTAGATCCATTAACAAGAATACTTCATTTATCAGAGTGAAAAAAGGGTATGTATTTAATAACCTTGTTAAGGTATGAAGAACAACATCTGAATTTTGGCCACAAGAGCTACACGACTCTGCGGGCAACCATTTTTATAATTTCCATGTTCACTCATTACCTTTTTTTGCCTCTGAATTATCTGAATTCAATCTTTACATATTTACATAGTTTTCAAAGTTTTTTGTTTTGTTTTGTTTCAAATCTTCTGTACTTACTAACATCTTGATTTTCCTCTTAGGTATGGCTTTTACTTCTTTTTTTAAACTCTATGTATAAAAATAGTCAAAGTACTGAATATATTAGAGTCTCTTTGGACACACTACTTCCCTGACCTAATTTAGAAGTAAAAAAGAAATTTAAAAAAGTTATCTTAGAAGACTAGATAAGAGAATCTACTCTACTCCTAAGTATAAAGTCAAGAGTTTAAATCGAAGGATTAAAATGAACTTCTACAGGTTACTTTCTTTTCTATGTCTGTACTAGAAGTGACTTACAATACATTATTGCCACTAGCTTTCATTCGAAAAAACTTTGAATTAATTTTTTTTTTTTTGGAAAGTAAAATAGGAAAATATTACCTGCAGCTTGGCATTTTGAGTTTGTAGAGTTGTATTTTGTTCCTGTAGAGAAACAGTCTGTCTCTGAAGTGCAAGAATCTGAGCCTGCAGATTGCTATTCTGTGTCTCAAGTTGCTTTAATTGTGTCTTCAGTGCTTGCTTCTCTGCCTGCAGCGTAGCATTCTTTTGAACAATAAGAAAAAAGAAAATTTGAGTTCACAGCTGTTTACTGTACTTAAAGAAAAAAACCTTGTTTCTCCAAAACAAAGCAGCATGACTTTGCAGATTTACAGGGTGGACAAAACTGTAAATCACCTTCTATAACAAAGTAACACACAGTTATTATCACTACAAGTTAAGATTGAAAAAATGGGTAACTAGTATTTTACCTATGGAGAAACAATAGAGAAATCTCCATGACTCATGTAAATAAAGATTATGTAAGAGGGATTTAAGAAGAGGTATCTGGATTCAAAAGGGCAAATACAGGCTTCCACATTTCTTTTAAAATGCTGGTCAAGTGCTTTATGGCATCCCTCAGAGCAGAATCCGGCTGCTTCATAAACTATATTTAACTCAGATTCTGCTTGGTACATAAACTAGGTGATAAATTGCATACTTTTTTAACAACACTCTCATTCGTATTACTGGAACAGGTCACAACAAATAACTAAAATCAGAATAAAATTTAAAATGTATCTTACATTCCTTTCCACTTCGATTAATCTATCTTTAACTTTCAGTAATTCTCTAGTAGTTTCCTGATTTTCTTTCTCCCACTTATTGACAGACTGATTTTCTTCCCCACTTCTTGGAGGAGAATTCTGAACCATCCTTTCCTCTTCTTGTCTTTGCTTGAGAGCTTCATAGTTCTTTTTCACCTGAAATTATTTAGGACAACTTACATTAGGTCTAGAATTTTCCATTTTCTACATCCTAACTTACTACATGACCACGCCACTTTTCAAAGAACAGAAACTGCTATGTTACTGTATTTGGGAGATAATGTACAAATTATTTATGGATATGGATAGCTTAACCCTAACAAACACTTGTCCAACACAAAGAAACCTCTATTTTCTATTTTACTTCAGTGCTTTCAGTTGTATCCCCCAACTTTTATAACAAAGTCCTACAACCAAGGAGATTTTATTTCTTTTTTTAACCAGTCCACTCAGGGTGTTCAAGGTAGATCGGAAAACGTAACTGAAAATTACTACTTTTGGCATCCCAAATCAAATCAACTTCAGATTATTTACCCACCTGACATATTCAATGACCCATGAATAAACTCAACAACTTTTCATGTGATTTTAACACTGGGCCTGTGTTATTGCAGCCTTAAAAAAGCAGTCATAGCTTTGTCCTGCTTTACGTTACCCAAAGAATGCCCATCTTTTGGTGTCTTACACAAAAGGTCAAGTGTAGAAGTAACAATAGCTGGTAGAAGATTAATTTAATCTCATAGAAAAAATGTCATTCTCTTACTGTTTTAAGTTCCTGACGGAGCTGCTGGTTTAAATTTGTTGATTCTTCTAAACGAGCCTCCAAAGCAGCAATTTTTTCTTCTTTTATTTCGAGAGACTTCTTAAGTGTGGATTCTAATTTTGACTCCAAAAGCTTGTACCTACTGATCAATGACATCACACACAAAAAAAGTCTGTATTTCAAAAAATTATCTGAGGTATTAAATCCTAAAATGTTCTGAAACCATAGCCTCATAGCTACATTCAAAAATGCTTGAATGCTGACTCTATTCAAAAGCATGAAGACACCTCAGTATTAAAGTCTTATGTGTAAAACAAAACAGAAGATGATAGTCCAAACATTTTTGCATCATTCTTTCTTTTAAAAGATATTAGACATACAAAAAGCCATGTTCAGCCACACCAGTAGGGTGCTGACTATTTGGATCATTAGTGTGTCTGTGATGACAGCACTCTTCCTTCTGGCTCCACTCCAGCGAATCCAGCAGGGACCTGAACTAAATTAGAATGTGAAGTATTTGGAGAGCAAGATTTTCATCAATTTCCATTTCCTGCCAGCTCACAAAGAGGAGGACTAGGGAAGCAGAGGGAACACAGTACTTTGCAGGTGCACGCTCATTTGATGTATGAATGTGCAAATTGCTCACTCAGCCCAGCTGCTGATATTTTAAGACCGCCACCACTCCTGATGTGTAAAGCTTCCATTTTTTTACCATATTTACAATATTGCAGGGCATTTAAAAAACCTAAACCACACATTTGGGAGAGAAGTGGTCAGATTCAGAATATATTGGTTTAGAACAGCATCTCCTTTTCAGAAAATACTCAAAACCACATTCATTAATCACTTTTAGGCAGTTCAGTCACATGTGCTCAGAATCTGGAAAACATCCCACTTCTCCCCACAGCAGGATAAAAGAAAACAAACCATTAATATCCCCCTTTTTAATCTTGACTGCTGAAGAATCTATCAGTTTAGTGAATGGAACAGATTGCAAGAGACTCCTGAATGGACAGCAGTATTAGATCTAGACAGGAACTGGAGCAGAAGACCAAAGGTAACAGAATCAGGAAGAAAAAAGCTGTCCAGTAGCATCATGCAGTAGGATGAGAATCCTAGATTTTAAGGTATGACAAGTAATTCTCGGGGACTTAAGAAACAGTCGGCCATCTATGACTAGTAGAATAGACAGCATTTCATCTTCTTGAGCTGAAGCATGTATTCAGCTACAAATAAGAATTTGCTACTGAAAAGTTATACAATTCTGTGGAAAATAAAGAAGGAAAAAGACTAATAGTAGAGACCCAATATCCAGTTTCCTTTTGAACACCTAATAATTAAAGATAGTACATATTTTCTGATGTCACTGAGATTTGGGTATTTCAGATTCAGGGTCAAAAATCCGTAAATTTGTCTAAAAACAACAGCGATTTGAAAGGCAAGAGGAAACAGAAAATACTTCAAAGTTAACTCATCAAACGTGGTCAGCTTAGGCCCCAACAGAAGGATTCTGACATGCTACCAAGAACATTTAACAAAAACCACAAGCTGCTCTTTCCAATCAGGGAGAGGAATATTGTGCATTTTTAATTTCTGTCATCAAAATGGGAGAGGCAGACCAAAAATACAC